CGTTTATTGAGCACCTACTATGTGACAGTCACACACCGAGTATTTTTGAGTGCCTTCCCTGTTTCAGGTGCATCTGTCTGGGCTCTGGTGGTGAAGGCCAAGGTGAAGAAGACAGTCCCTTACCTCAAGGGGCTGGTGGCCTGGCTAGGACAGTAGCTGGCAATGGGAGTGCTGGTTAGTGGGCGCTACAGGAGAAGGAAGCATGAACTTGTTCTCGGTGAGGGAGGGGAGGAAGTCATCCAGGGGAAGGGGATCCAGGAAGTAAGCTGGAAAGTTACGGGTTTGCTGGTCCACCTGAGGGAGAGGGAGCTGGGCCAGCAGGAAGGAGGGGTCTGTGCCAAGGTGCTGGGGAGGGAAGCAGCCCGCGTTTGCACCTGACTCGGTCTGTTTGCGAACAGGTGGGAGGGAGGCAGTGGGGAGAGGAGTCCACGGCTGCCAGCCAGGTCCTGAGGGGGCCTTCCTTCACACGGGCTAAGGAGCTTGCGCCCAGCTTGATCCCGCAGGCTCCAGAGAGCCCCTCAGCAAGAGCTCACGCTCTGTGGGGTGACATAATCAGCTTTGATTTGGGGGAAGATTGTGGAGCCCCAGTGCTCCTGAGCACCTCACTGCAGCAGCACCAGCCAGATGTTGGGGTGTGCCTGCCTGCAGCAGTGAGTGACAGCTGCTCATGTGGGTCGGTGAGCTGGGGTTTGTGTGGGGGTGGGAGGCGGGGGAGGGGGGTGCACTTTTTATGGATAGTTCTGGTTAGGGTGTGCTGTGGGAGCAGAGGAGGTTAGCAATTCTTGAGTGAGTATCACGTGTCAACTTCCCATGTATTACCTTATTTAATTGTAACATCTCTGAGGTGGCTATTACTAATATTATTATTATTTTATTGATTGATTTTAGAGAGGGGGGGAAGGAGAGAGAGAGAGAGAGAGAGACGTCAATTTGTTATTCCACCTGTTTACACATTCATTGGTTGATTCTTCTAAGTGCCCTGACCTGGGATCAAACCCACAACCTTGGTGCATCGGGGCGATGTTCCAACCAACTAAGCTACCCAAGCCAGGGCCGAGGGAGATATTAGTATCCCAGGTTTTTTTTTTAAGATTTTATTTATTTATTTTTAGAGAGGGAAGGGAGGGAGAAAGAGAGAGAGAGAGAAACATCAATGTGTGGTTGCTGGGAGTCATGGCCTGTAACCCAGGCATGTACCCTGACTGGGAATCAAACCTTTGACACTTTGGTTCGCAGCCCACGTTCAATCCACTGAGCTATGCCAGCCAGGGCTAGCATCCCAATTTTGTCGGTGAGAAATGCAAGACCCAGAGAGGTTAAATATTCTTGAGGTTATTTGTGAGTAAAGAGCAGAGCAAAAAGCCCAGCCTGCCTCTGCCCTCCCATAGCCCACCTAAGTAGAAGTTCAGCCCCCTCCTGCCACTTCCCAGTGGAGGGATTGACTAATTAGTTCCCTTACTTGACAGATGAGGAAACCAACCTGGGCTCAGATCTGTTCCTGCTAAATTTCTTACTGTTTTCCAGCTGCTCCGAGTCACTGTGGATCAGATTCTTCCCTTTCAGAGCATTAGCAACGCTTCCTAATTCAGCGCTACTTGCAGATTTGATAAGCGTATCTTAAATTCCTTTGCTCAGCCTATCAGCAAGGATATTGAGTGAAATGGGTCTCAGGACAGATGCGAGACTGAGCCCCTCGCTACGCCTCCTGGAGGGACACGGCCCCGAGCCACCTGCTCCCCCTTCTCAGTGTGTTGCCCCCAACTCCTCGTGTGAACACAGTCGGGCCCGGAGCAAAAGGGGCCTCCTTCCTTTTTGCCCTGTGACTTGTGGCCGCGTCGAGGAAGAAACGATATGTTGGCCAAGAACAGCATGCTCTTCACAAAACTGTGCTTCAAGGTCTGATGGGAAGGGCACGAAGTCACTCAGACCTGGGTGCAGGTCCTAACCTAGGCCCTCGTGGAAACTTGGTTTTCTCCAGCACAGCCCAGGGGTGCCCGAGGCCCGAATGCTGGGCTGGGCATGAAGCACCTTGCCCCGCAACAGGCTCGGTACGCGGCAGCCGGCCCCGGGGATCTCTGTCTGCACTCTCAGCAGGCCAGGACCTGGGCATCAGGGCATTGCACCCCTCCCTCCAGGGGGGTGTTGCACTGAGTTGAACTCCACAGGGAAAGAAAACGTGCTGAGCACATGTGACGTAAGGTGAGGAACACTAGCAAAGCCGCAGGCGGCACAGGGGTTGCCCATCCGGGGCCCCCCAAGGCCTTCTCCACATGCTGATCCTGACGTGTCAAGTGCCTTTGTTTTGGAGTGATCTCTGCGTGGTATTCATGGTTCGTTTTTTTGCTGATCAGAGGCTTTCACAGGTCTCATGGGTTCAGAGTAAAAGTGAGAGAATCAGCCCTGGCTGGTGTGGCTCAGTGGATTGAGTGCTGGTCTGTGAACCAAAAGGTCGCCAGTTCGATTCCCTGTCAGGGCGCATGCCTGGGTTGTGGGCCAGGCCCCCAGTTGGGGGCGAGCAAGAGGCAACCAGTCAATGTTTCTCTCACACATCGTTCTCTCTCTCTCTCTCTCTCTCTCTCTTTTTCTCCTTCCCTTTTCCTATCTCTGAAAATAAATAATTAAAATATATTTTTTTAAAAAGGTGAGAAAATGAAGCCTCTGTAAGTTGTTAAACAGTGTCAGGCAGAGGTTTGCTCGACCCAGTGACTGGCTGGGCTGATCCTGACCTACTTCGGCACCCCCTCTCGTCTGCTGCCCTGTGCGGGCCAGTCCCATGGGCCTGGCCACTAGGAATGGCCAGAGGCCCCATTGGGTCTGGCCTAGTGCTCTCCGGGCGGGTACAGAGGTGGGCCTCTGGCCACTGGGGAGGATGTAAGCCCTCTCACCTCGGGGGCAGGACCTGCTAAGTGCTGGGCCTGGTGTAGGCTCTGGGGGTCCAGTAGTACACAAAATAGACGAGGGCAAACCATTCATTCATCTGCCCTCGTAAAACTCTGTGAAGCAGGCAGAACGGACACCCATTTCATGGATGAGGAAACTGAGGCTCAGAAGGGTCCAGTCACTACCAAATGGGCAAGCTCTGTGCACTCGGGTGTGCTATAGGCCCTGTGCCTTCCGTGACCTCCCGTTGCCTCCGGTTGTTCTGTAAGTGCTTAGTTACCTGGCCGGAAAGGTCAAGACCGTGCCCACTAGGCAGCGGTGGAGTCAGACCAAGAACCACCTGAGCCTGACATTCACTATAGTTCTGCGGGTCCAGTTTAAAACTGTGCAGATGTTCAGTTGCATTGATGGTATTTCCTCTGAGATCCAAGCAGTCTTTTCTTAAGCGGGGGTAGCTGTCTGTGGGGTCTCGGAAGACAGCTCGGAAGCAGCAGGGCTGGCCTGCCTCGGGGCACGTGCCCTCGGGCCACCCTCAGCCCTGGCCCCCCCAGAGCTCTCAAGGACCCCCCAGAGCTCACCCCTCGGCCCAGTGCCCTCCCTTCCCCCCCACAGACAGGCCCCAGGCCCCCCAGCTTCTCTTTCAGGCCAGTCTCAGCTGGCCTCCTTACGTTGTCTCTTGGGTCCCTCTGCAGCCCCTCGGTCCTCACCGCACAGCTTAGGGACAATGCTCCCTGGGAGATCGGCCATCACCACCCCCACCTCGGTCCTTGGCTTCCTCGAGTCTGATGACTTCAGGACCTTGAGTTGGCAGCTCTCTCCTTCCCTGCGCCCATAATATCCCGGGGTCCTCTTCCTGCTCCTCTGAATGTTCTCCATCTCCCTCGTGTGTTCTGCCCTCCCTCCAACCTGACCGCAGCCTCCACCTGGTGCTGAAGTCCGGCGCCTCTGTTCCCCTTCCCCTCGCGTCTCCCAGAGCTCAGCCGTGATGCCCCGACGTCTTCCTCCCGGGAGCGTCTGTCCCACAGGCGTGCCTTGAATGCGCGGACGGTCCAGGGTCTACTGGTCGCAGTAGGTTTTTGTCTGCATGTCCCGTTGTCACCTGAAAATTAATGTGGCAAACCACAAGATATTTTGAAATCACAGAAAATGAAAGTTGAGTGGGACGTCAAGGGCCAGCTCGATGAAATCCTCAGGGAACCCGTGGGCCTTCCCTTCTGCTCCTGGGCACTGGCACGGCTCTGCATGGGCGCCCCCCCACCCAGGCAGGCCTCGAAACCATCGTTGGCCCCGGCCGCCACAGAGGGCGTGCAGAGCAGCCTGGGGTCCCTGTGCCGAGTCAGGGTCCCCCTCTCATGCCCTTCCCCAGCATTGTTTTTCCTCGCGATTAGTCATGCTGGAGCCGGCTGAGTCAGAAGGGACGTGTGGGTGGTTTGTGGCTGGAGCAGCGAGGTAGAAGGACTTTCTAGGTTTAGTTAAAAATCCCCTGTACCCCGGCCTGGCCTAGCACGCCTAGTCCCAGCAGGTGGGTAATGAGGGGGGAAGAGAGAGGGGAAGGGAGGGAGGAAGAGAGGGAGAGAAACATCGACTGGTTGCCTCTTGCACGCCCCCAACCAGGGACCTGGCCTGCAACCCAGGCATGTGCCCTAACAGGGAATCGAACCGGTGACCTTTCACTTTGCCAGAGGACATCTGATCAACTGAGCCGCACCAGTCAGGGCTGCATTACTAAATGTAATATTTCTTTTCTTGTGATTTTATTTTCAATAAAGGCGATTTCTTAAATATATATCTGATTTCATTTTTGTGCCGTGTAAGAAATGTTTTTCCATATAAATAAACTCATTTCTGGAAACAAATTCTTTGTTGTTGCATGTGTCGTGATTCTGCAGTTCAGAAATGTGGCGACCAGGAGGGACAGCTGCCTGCCCCTGCGTCCCCAGAGGATATATTCCAATGAGGCTCTAAGGGTGGCTCAGGCTTCTCCAAGCGCCAGGGGGTGACTTTCATCCCCGCCTTGAAGGACCACCAGGGCACAGGCCTGGGAGCGCGGCCATGTGGGGCGGTGGGGCGGAGGCCTGCTGTGTCCAGCCCGGCGTCACAGGCTGTGTCTGTGCCCACAGGAGGGAGAGGAGCAGGAGGAGGCACGCGGCAAGGAGGAGCGGCAAGAGCCCAGCACAACTGCACGGAAGGTGGGGCGGCCTGGGAGAAAGCGCAAGCACCCCCTGGTGAGTGTCGTGGCAAACCCCTAGCACACGCACACGCACGCATGCAGCAGTGAGTGTCTCTCAGGGATATGCGAAGACCTTCCCATGGGGTGTGGCCCCTTCTCCACTCTTTGAGCCCCTCACCCACCCTCAGGCCTTCCCTTTTCTACATCCAATGGGAGGCCCCTAGAGACCCAGGGACCTGCGCTGTGGGTGCAAGCAGAGCAGGGACTTGAGTCAAGCCCCCGACTCCCAGCTTCCTTCTGAAAGGGCAGTGAGAGAAGCTGACACGCACCCACTGGGACTCCACAGGGCAGAACCTGCCTCTGCCTGGCCTGCCTGCACAGGCCCCTCTCTCCCTGTGCACACACCCACCCTGGGCCTCAGCCCCACCTGGAGAACCTGGAGGAAGGGAACTCAGGTTTGGGAGTCTGAGCAAAAAGAGCAGGAAGGAGATGCGGGCTGCTGAGTCCCTTTGTAAGGGAGGAGAGCTGGGCCCTGCCGAGTCCTGTACCAGTGGTACAAGTGTAGCCCGAGGAAGTGCAGGCCCCTGACCGCCCACAGCCAGGCTCCTGGTCAGAGGGCGGGCAGAGGGGGAAGCTCTGGGGTTGCCCAAGCCGAGGAGTGCTCCGGAGAGCAAGGCCCTCGGGCTGTGGGAGCCGGCCTGGTGCCTTAAACTCCTAGGCGGAACAATAATGATTTGCCAGCACCAAAGACAGCTGGTTCCTTTCTCTTAGCCCCTTCCAGCTGAGAATGGGAAACTTGAAGCATGAAGGTAAGGAGGAGCCAGAAGCTCCGGATTTGTAACTCTGCCCTCCAAGGAAACGTTCTCAGCAGGGCAGGATTTTCTGTCCCGGGCAGAGTTGGGGGGCAGGGTGGCAGCGGAGAAAGGAGGCAGCCGCGGGAGGGAGGGCTGCAACAGCTGGACCCGAGAGGGCATTCTCGGAGGCGCCGCAGCCGGGTACTAAAGGGCCCCACTCCTGACCGTGCTGGGAGATTTGGAGGGGAAGGGAGTGGGGGTGGGGCAGAAGCGAAGTCATGTAACTGGTCATTTTTAGACATTTTAATATTAACGCAAACATGGATATTTTATGGCCTGGAATGAAAAATTCACATGAAGTTGAATGATAAAAACAGAGGACTTTAAAGGAATGCCTAGCTTGCAGCAGACTCCAGGCTGCACCCCCAGATTCCCGGGGTGACCCTCTACCCTCCTCCTCAATAGGGCACCCAGTGGGAGACGGTGGGGGCCCAGGCTGGAGCGGGCGGGGAAGCCAGGCTGAGTCAGACAAAGAGTTCCTCCTCTGCCCATGTGCCCATGACCCACCGTCCCGTTCTGGGTGCTGGGGGCGAGTCCCACTTACAGCAGAGAAAGGCTCGCCGCCCTTTGAATCCACGGTAGGGCGCCTCACTGTGAGCTGGGGTGCAGCCCTGGGGGCAGAGGGTGCACGGAGATCGGGCGGGTGTGCGGAAGTGTGCCCGGAAGTGTGCCCGGAAGTGTGCAGATGCGGGGAGAGGGTCACGGGGGAGTGGGTGAGCCTGAGACGGGGCCTAGTGTGGGAGGAAGAGCTTCGTCCGTCTTTGGAGCCCAACAGACCTGGGCTTCAATCCCGGCTCCACCACTGACCAAGGTTACCTGTGTAACCTTGAACCTTGGATTCCCCTTCAAAAAATTAGAGATGATAGGGATGCATTCCTCCTAGACCCCTGGGAGAATTAAATGGGTTCAGTCACCAAAAAGCTAGCTACCTGCCCTGGCCCGGCCACACCTCTCCTCCTCACCGCCCCTCCTCAGGAGGCCACAGCGACCTCGGTTGGACAAGAGACACAGTACTGAGTTTACTGCTTCGAAGCCATGTGATCTTAAGCAAGTCACTCAACCTTTCTCAGCTGCCGCATATTGGCAGCACCTGCCCTGTGTGCTCCAGTGGTGCTGTGCAGACAGCAAAGTGGAGTCCAGATGTCTGGGGCTGGCTGCAGTGTACCTGCCTGGCTGCAGGGGCCGGCAGGGCCAGTGCTGCGAGGCCTTTTGGGTAGGAGCCTAGCTCGGGCTTCTCACTAGCCCCAGCGGGAGGCTGCGCATGGTCACAGTCTGGACGTGGTCCCGGCCACGTCCTAGGCGACGCCTCAAGAGAGGCCCCAGGATGGGAGAGAAAGCGTGGGGAAGGCAGGGTCGGTTGGGGAGGCAGGGGGCCGGGGCAGCTGTTGTGAAAGGACCCCCTGCACGCTGGGGGAACAGAGAAAGACCGACCCCAGAGAAAAAGGCCAGCAGAGCCCTTCCTGGGCAGCAGGCCCTGGGGGTGGGGGTTTGGGCAGGGGAGGAAACGTGTGCTGTGGCTAGAGGTCAGTCAACCCATGGGCCCCTGGCCCACAGGCCATCTGGTTCACTTGTGCGGCAGGTGCTCCCCCGGCGCCGCTGTTCCCCCCGCAGAGGAGCACAGCAGGGAGGGTGTCTTGGGGACCTGGTGCAGCTGTGGCCCTGAGAACGATCGGCCAGGGAGCTTTCAAGCAGCAGAGTGTGTGTCATCCAGCTAAGCCTGCAAAGGGGCGGGAGCTTGGCTCAGTCCCCAACAGGTGGAATGGAGGGGGCAGTGCTGGGAAGGGAGAGAGGAAAACCTGGCTGTGGGCTGGGCTCTCCCTTGTGCAGAGGCTGCAGGAGAAACTCACACCAGCATCATCGTCCCCGGCCCCAGGGTTAGGAAACCTGTAGTGCCCTCCTCCTTTTGCCCCCGAGGCCTCACTGCCCCCAGGTGCCTTCCACTCATTCCTGCTCCTGTCACCTGGTTGCACCCTCACCCAAACCTCACCCAGGCCCCACCCAGACCCCACCTGCCAGCCCTTTCTCCCTCAGGGACAAATACTTCACCCCTACGGAGCACCTACCAGGATGGGGGAGGCCACCCAGATCAATAAGGCTTAGCTTTCAACCCAGGGAGTTTGAAAGGAGACCACACGTAACCGTACTAAATGCAGCCTGTGGCACGTCTCTGCCAAGAGCCGATCTCTAGGGACTCTGTTCCTATGGAACAGGCTCTGGAAAACCCCATCTGGCTCCTCACCACGGGGGCTCTTGGCCCCTGCACTGCTTGCTGCTCGGTGTCCACCTCTTGCCACAGACACACAGAAACCCTGTCCCCTTGCTGCTCCCCGAACACACCCAGCTCAGCCACCGCGACCCACACCAGCTCTCCCTTTGGAACTGTTTGTAAAATTAATCCAAACACCAAGAAACAAAAGACAAGCGATAGGCCCCCGACCACTTGCTCGGGCGGCAGCGGCCTTCAGACACAGGCCTGTGGACTGTCGCCTGGCCGCAGAGAATTCGAGAATGAGCACTTAAGACGCTTGGACTTGGACTTGCCACGTCCAAGTGCGTGATTCTGTATTTCGCAAAAGGATCACTTTCCCTGTGGATTGGGAATTAACAAAAATAAGAGCAAACACCTGGCCTTTCAGCTCAGAGAGCTGGAAAAGCAGGCGGAAAGAGCCTGTCTCTTCCACGAGATTTGTTTTAAAGGTTTTATTTGTTTATTTTTAGAGAGAGGGGAAGGGAGGGAGAAAGGGAGAGAAACATCAATGTGTGGTTGCCTCTCACGTGGCCCCTGCTGGGGGACCTGGCCCGCAACCCAGGCATGTGCCCTGACTGGGACTCGAACCAGCGACCCTTTGGTTTGCAGCCTGCACTCACTCCACTGAGCCACACCAGCCAGGGCTCTTCTATGAGATTTGATGTTTGGTGCCCCCAACACTGTGGTCACGGGGCTGAGCCATAGTGCACTGTGGACCCACCTCACAGTGGACAGAGCCCGTGGATACACGCTGTGTAGCCTTTATCGCCTGCAGAGGCCTCTACAGCACAACTTCATGTGGTGCCGGCAGCAAACCTGTGGGAGGTGGGGCGGGGGGTGGGGCGGGGGCGCTGTTATTACCCTCCTCCCCCTCATTGAAGAGACTGAGGTGCAGAGCCCACACCTCCCCTCGGCAGAGCCCACAGTACTCGTCTCCCCCCGGGTATCCAGATTTTCATTGTTAATATAAGAACACAGGGCTGTTTGAGAAAGTGTGTGAGCTGGTCAAAAAGCATACAAAGAAAACGTAACCGAGGAGGGTGATTGACCCAAATACCAGGGAGCCCGTGGGGGAAGTGGGTGAGACTGTGGTGGCCCGAGGGGTGAGAGGTGGGCCCGTGAAAAACGGGCAGCGGCTTGGTCTGCAGCGCTGGTCTCAGAGCCAAGATGCTTGAGATCAGAGCCGGCAACAGGAAACAGGAAGCCAGTGCAGGGCTGGGCGGGGCTTAGGAAGGGGGCTGGCACCTGACTCGGGGCCTGCGGGCTGGCCAGTGCCTGTGGCAGGGAGGAGGGGACGGCGGCATGCCAGGCTGGTCTGTCGCCCCGAGCGTGAGCCTGCGTGTGGGCGTGAGTGGCGGGGTGGGCGGAGGAGTCATCCTTCTGCCCACCAGCTCCGCCGAGTTAGAAGTGAGGGTGTCCAAAGTTGGTTCGGCCTGGTCACAAGCCCAGACAAGCCCCGAGAGCGCCTTTGTCCTTCATGCTGGTTACAGCTGGGGTACTGGGAGGGACAGCTTCTGCCCTTGCCCAGCAAATCCTAGGGGCTGACCGGCCCTTCGAGGTTCCATGCCCTATTTACTAGCTGTAAGTATTTATTCATTGAAGATTTATACCCACCAACTTCCTCCAGGGTTAATTTTGCTCAGTGGGAGCACTCTGAGGTCACCTCTTGCTAAGAATAACCCAGAAAGGGAGGGAGGGGAAGGAGGGGGCTGGGAGCAGGCGCTGAGCTCAGCCAGGCCGGCCCAAAGCCAGCAGTTACTCCACATTGAAGCAGAATCTCCAACGCAATGCCTGAGTGAGTGAGTTCCAGAGGGCAAAACCGTCCCACTTCAGAGCCAAGGACTGGGGTACACGCCGTGGGAAGTTAGGGAACCACTCCTCTGTGGCTGGAGCCAGCTGGGCACAGTTTAACTCAGCTGTTGGGAGGCTGCAGCGCGGGCGCCTTCTCTACCC